GTGAATACTTTTAATTTAGATTGCTCCAGTCGTTTCTGTACAATACGTTTTATGTTTGTAGAAAGATCGTTTGGCATTCATTCACGTTTCTGTTTAGCTAATCTAAGTATATTAGAGAATATTTTGACAGAAAATACCGTTAAATAGTTATTAGTGTGATCACTCTTTAAATGGAAAATATCGTACATTGATTTTTGTAAATCATTTGATCAGATCTCATCAAGAGAAAATGTACTGAGAAGAAAACACTCCTTGAATCTTAAAGTATACGCAGGTATTAACATTTTTTTGACCATGGGCAATTGACCACATTTAAAAACAATTAGGCGGTAATAAAATTTGATTTAGGTGGTAATTGCCGAATTACCACCCTGCTGGCTACGCCACTAATGAATTTGAAGATGTGTACAGTTAAACATTAATCAAATATCTATGATAATTGACATGTAGGTTCATTAAGGAATCACCAAAAAACTGAACATCGAGTTAGACGATGAAATATATCCAACTGTCAGACGTCATTCGATCACATGTTATGGCTACAAGTCGGGCTCCGTGAAACTAAGAAAAAGATTAAAAAGATTCGAACCTATAACTTACTGATGAACAACTACTACCGTTTTAATGAAGTTTCTATTGAGAACAAACCATTTTTGAAAAATTCAAAACAAAGTGTGTCGAGTTGAAATTTTGTTTACAGATACGTTTGATAATTTCTGGCATCCCATCGGCAGTCCGTAGAAAAAGAGAAAAAAAGCGGAGTTTCAATAAAAACGAGAAAAAAACGACGAGCATTTTTTGCTTCTGAAATGAAAACAAAGGGTACCGCGTGGTTCAAAAGTCAATAAATTAGAGCGCCGTTAATCTGAATTCAATACAGACACGAAAAACTCGAAAGATAAAAGTGATATTCAGTTCTTGACATTTGCGGTGATGTATTTTCTACCGAACTCAGAAAAAGAGAACTACAAAAACCAGACAAAAATGACAGGGTCTAGTGCAAAAGTACTTGACTGTGATATCGCTTTATCCGAGTACTCGTAGACAAAGAAAAAGAAATTAAAAAGAAAATCATTGAATATTCAGAATGTGTTCAGTTTATAAAAGCACGAGAGCATAAAGAGGATGTGAGTACGAAGTATAGTTGTGAGTGTGGGATGTGGGTTTAGGTCTTCTTTTCAGCCACACCCATACCCACCCACACCACAGTCTTATCTCTAGACAGAAGCGAACTTTCTCATCCTTCTCTACATTTTCCATAATATATTCACACAGTGATACTGTTTCGAAGACCGGTTGATAGCATGAAAAAGTTGATCACATAGCAGGACAAAAGACCCTTTTGCACAACGATTTATTCATTCCGTTTTTTTTTTTACAAAGCATACCCAATGCATTTGGTATATGAAATATGTTGTCACATATGATACACACGTTATTCATGCGAACAAAATTAATTTTAATAAATCTTGCCACATGTTATTCAGAAGAAATGAAATGAAAAAAAAGATACTTGAAACCCATATGTTGAACAAATCAATAGCAAATTAAGCGCACAATTTCTGAAATCAATAATATGCTATCAATTTGCCTTCATATAATCCGCTTTATGATTTCTCTGGAAAACGTTGATTAAAAAGTAGAAGGTCATTTTTGAGAGAAATCCAACATACGGCTAGGATTGGTGTGAGTGTGAGTATGTGGCTGTGGATGCCTGTGCGCAACAAGCCAAGACACTCACACCACCCCACACATACATCCACATCTGGAAATTGAAGGTGTGGGTGTGAGTTTGCGCGTTGACCTCCTCCTAACCCACACTCACACCCACGCCCACACCAGCAACACACAAAGATACTAGTCTCGCAAACAAACAAGATCACTATTAGCTAATGTTAATAGTTTATTAACGATTTTATTTGTATGAAACAATTAAACCCTAAGACACAGTTAATTTCAAATTGTTTAAAATTTTTTTTTTTTATTGATTTTCCCACAATTGGTATACAATGGTGGACATCATCAAAGACATATAATTGTCTTCCTTTTAGTATACTTTGTTCAGATTGAACAAACAACGATTTGAATATTCTGTTTCCAAAATATACATAGAATTTCTCGTCTATTCAAACCTATATTGTTTAAATATAACAATGTTATATCAAGTTCAACTTAACATATTCGACCAATATGTAAACAAGCATGTTTTACTATAATCAACTTATCGGTTGTATCAAATCATGTTGTATCTTCACTATATTGTAAATAAGGAATAAAACGTATTTACAATATATGTTAAAGATGGCCATCGAATCGACTAAAACGAAAAATTTCTATTGTTCGAAGAGATAGACGAAAATCTAAGGTAAAAACATTAAAAACCTTTATTTCAAAACTGCATTGTTTTTAATATAAAATTTCTGATAATCTTTAACATTCATTTACTTTCGCTTGCATGACAACAATCGCTATGTATTTGAATCAAACAGTAGATAATTTTTACCAATATATTTCGAATTTTCACTTCATCCATTGAGTGAAAATGATAATATCTCGATTAATCAGTAAATTTTTTTTCTTCCAATTCATAGAAAATTTGAACAAACTATTTCTTAATAAATAGTGATGTAATAAAACTGATGATGAATGCAGCATAATAACGTCAAACTTCATATTTCATCAATCAAATGAAAATTAATAAATATAATCTTTAATATTATTGTATGATTCTAAGGTGTTTTATTGGATGACGTATTGAAAAGAATATTAAGAAAAATTATTTCTTGCAGAATAAATATATTGAGATTATTATTTTGAAATAGACAATAGAAATATTTTAAATTAGTTTTAAACTATCGCTTTCTTACTACTGTTATTCGGAAAAAAAAACATATTTCTACAATATGCTGAACGAAGATCATGAAGCAAGAAATACATAATACTGTTGTTGTACGTTGATGATCTAAAATCATATATTCTATAAACCGACATTATTGAATAAGTTCTCGGTTTACATATTGATATATGTAAAAAAAATGGTAGTTGAAATTCAATACTAATAACAGACAATAGGAAGGAATTCATTTGTAAATAATCGCTTATCATCTTAAGCCTACTATATTACGAATAGATTTTTACTCATAATTATGAATTCATCATCATTGTCTAGAGGAGAATTTTTGTAACATTTCATACCTTTGTACTAAGTCGAAAAGAAAAATTTCAGTTAAAATGAAGCATTACAATACTGTTATAGAAGGTCTATGCTGCTAGAAATGATGAAATACTTGTCTAGTTTCTGTTCATATCTGATCTCAAGGCAAGATTTCAAGTTGCTTCATCAATCAAATATAAGATGTAAGAAGTCTCATAACTGATGTAAAATCATGACTATAAATATTAATAACTTTTCAGTTTTTTTATTAAAAGTAACATGCATTATTCAATGTCAGTGTCAGCAATACACGACTTTATTCGTCAATATTATAAATAACCTTTGATTTTTTCAGTTTTCACTGTATTTATCAGGCAGTAATGTTTTATGTGAGATTGCCGTTGGGTTGTTTTCTTTTACATCTGGCTCTTGCTAACTTGCAAATCAATCTGCATTACACAGATTGGGTAAGTGACAATAATCATGTATTGCAACACGATTGTTTGCGTGTACATGCTTCACTTGATAAAGGACATATTAACCGTGAATTGATAACTTATTGTATGGATGATCTACCATCGAAATTTCATATGGAAAATAATCATATTTTTCCCAAGTTTACTTTTGCGGAACTTGCGAAAGACAATATTACTAGTTATGAATTATATCTTTGGTCAGCACCAATTGATGTGGCAGAGCGTTATCAACTCTATCTAAATCAAATGTCAATATCAAATAATCAATCTTTGGAAAGAGAAATTTTCTATAATTGTACATTGCCAAGATTTGGTTCGTTATGTCAATATGAAATTAACTATGTTCATGAAAACTATTCATCTCTATATGATATGATCAATGATTACTATGAAGAGCGATACTTCAATCCTGATGTAAACTGTTATACTCATTTACAATGTAATCGTGGTCCATCACCAGCTTGTTTGGATTGGACAGAGATTTGCGATGGCCAAGTTGATTGCATCGATGATAAAGCGGATGAAAAAGATTGTTGGAAAATTGAAATTCATGTATGTCAAGATGATGAATTCCAATGTTCGAATGGACAATGTATACCTATGGCTTTTTATCGTGATGATGATACTAGTGGAGATTGTGCTGACATGACAGATGAACGTTCGCCACAACGAATAGAATCGTTGTACTTCATTTATAAACAGCCGTCATTTATAAATGAAGAGAATCAATTTCGTCCAGTACCCATCGGAAATCTTAATTTCGGTATGCGTCGAAGCCATTTATTTCAAGCTTTATTTTTGGCTAAAGATAACTCTATATCCGAAGATTGTTGGTCAGCCCTTAGATCTACAATCCAACAATCAATATATGAAAAGCCACTTTTTAATAAGACATGCGTGGAACAAGAGTGTTTTGAAATCATTGAGAAAGAATGTCCAGATGTTTTTTATTTCCCTACGGTTCCAGTCTTTTTTCATAACATTCGACTGGCATTCAACAAAATCGATCTGTTAATTTCTAAGGCTTCATACTATGGAGCAGCTTTCATATGTTACAATAGTTCTGATTATGAGTACTATGTTCCTCCTGGTCGAATTTTTTTATTCAATAATGCAACCTGTTTCCATCCTGGCGCCATAGCGTTTTCCGATACGTTGAAATACACACTGGAAGAAGTATATCTGTCTCCGTTGTATCAATTCATATATGAAATGAAACCATACTTTTTAATTTATAACTATACTTCTGGAATATGTAATAGATCTAACATGTATCATTGTATCAACTCTTCAAAATGTATCTCAATGAATCGTCTAATGGATCGTTCAATGGACTGCCCAAAAGGAGATGACGAAAATCTAATGCATATTATGGATGCTGGCTGGACAGACGTTTTAAAAAATCTTTTTCAATGCAAGATGGTTAACAAATATATTTATCAATTGTTTGTTAAAGATGGACAGTGCCACTGTGAAGGACAGTATGACGGTTACTGCGAAGACGAAGATGAAGATTTTGCTTTAGCTAGAACGAAGCTTTTATTTCAACACGTTTGTGACGGATTAACTCAACTGATTCCAATAAATAATGACAAACAAAATGAAACAGATGAAACAGAATGTGAACAATAGCCATGTAATAACATTTATAATCATTGTGATGGCATTTGGGATTGTCCGAAGGGTGAGGATGAAGCCGGTTGTTATTCGTTTACAACATTGAATTGTTCATCAAATCAACATTTATGTGTGTTACCTGATACAAATCAATTTACATGTATACCACTTGAAAAAATAAATGATAACAACATCGATTGTCTTGGTGCTACTGATGAACGAACACTGTGCCGAGCATACTTCTCTATATACCAAAGAGACAATTTCTTATGTAAAAACTCAAGTTCGCAAAGATGCATAAATTCTGCTCACTTATGCAACGGTAAATTCGACTGTGAATATGGTGATGATGAACAATTTTGTATGAAACGTTACATCTATGGACTGTCCTCCTCATGTGGCAAAGTTTCTTATTCTGAAGTTGAGCAATTTTTCTGTAAAGAATTAGAAAGAAAAAGCAAATCATTCATTAAACACTTTTCATTAGATGGATTGACCGAACTCAATACGGATAATCCAACAACTAGTATTAGACCATCAGGAATTAATCGATATCCACAGAAATATGAACTTATGATGAACAGAAAGAATCCATGTTCTCGAGGTATTCAATTACGCGTTTGGCTCAATGAGCAAAATAATTCAACAACAAATACATGTCTTTGCCCACCTAGTTATTATGGTGATCATTGTCAAAATCAAAATCAACGTGTCAGTTTAACTATGGCATTTCGAGTAATGTCTGATTCTCGATCAACATTATTTACAATTATAATCTCATTGATCGATGATAGTGAACAAAGAATTATTCATTCATACGAACAATTG